CTCGCCGAGGCAGGAAGATAAGGACGACGGCGACGACCCGTTCGCGGCGATGGAGCGAAAAAAAGCGGCGTCTTTCCCCGGGGAGGAGAACAAAGACCTCGGGAAACCGTACGGCCGCGCCGCGATCGCGCGCGCGCTCGGCGCCGTCGCGCCGTCGCTCACTGCGCGCGACCTCCCGCTCGTGACGACGTTCCTGACGAAAGTCTTGGGCGACCAGGACGAGCTCGTGCGCGACGCGGCGATGACCGGCGGCCGCGCGATGATCGACCTTCACGGCGCGGAGCACGTGCAGCAACTCCTCGGGGTATACGAGGGGTACTTCGATCGCGGCGCCGCCGCGGGGAGCGGGCTGAGCGAGTCGCAGAACGATTTCGTTCGACAAGGCGTCGTCGTGTTCTTGGGCGCGCTCGCGTGTCATCTCCCGAGGGAAGACCCGAAGATTCGACAGATTTTATCCCGGCTCGTCGCGGTGCTGTCGACGCCGTCCGAGGCGGTGCAACGCGCGGTCGCGGACTGCCTCCCTCCGCTCATGCCTTCACTGGAAGACGACGAGCGCAGGACGTTGATCGAAAGCCTGCTGACGCAAGTCACGTCCGGGGAGGGGTACGCGGACCGCAGAGGCGCCGCGTTCGGTCTCGCCGGCGCGGTCAAAGGCGTCGGGATCAGCTCTTTGAAGAGCATGGGCGTGATGGACGCGATCAAGGCCGCGGTGGAGGATAAGAAAAACCCGGACGCGCGCGAGGGCGCGCTCATGGCGTTCGAGCTCTTGAACGTCCGACTCGGTCGTCTGTTCGAGCCGTACGTCATCCACGTACTTCCGATGCTTTTGGTGTGCTTCGGGGATCAGAGCGCGAACGTGCGCGAGGCGACGATTTCCGCCGCGCGCGCGGTCATGGGCCAGCTCAGCGCGCAAGGCGTGAAGCTCGTGCTGCCGGCGCTGATGAAAGGCTTGGAGGACAAAGCCTGGCGCACGAAAGAAGGCAGCGTGCAGCTCTTGGGCGCGATGTCCGCGTGCGCGCCAAAACAGCTCAGCGCGTGTCTCCCGCAGATTGTCCCGCGTCTGTCCGAGACGTTGATCGACACGCACCCGAAAGTCGTGGACGCGGCGTCGCGCGCGCTGAAGCAAATCGGCGACGTGATTCGAAACCCGGAGATTCAGGCGCTGAGTAACTACCTCCTCGGCGCGATCGCGAAGCCCGCGGAGCTGACGCAGCCGTGTTTGGACGTTCTGCTCGAGATGACGTTCGTGAACGTCGTGGACGCGCCGTCGCTCGCGCTGATCGTTCCGGTGTTATCCAGAGGTCTCAGGGACCGACGGGCGGATTTGAAAAAGAAAGCCGCGAAGATCGCGGGGAACATGTGCGCGCTCGTGAGCGACGCGAAGGACATGAACCCGTACGTCCCCATCTTACTCCCGGACATACAGAAGAGCTTGTTGGATCCGATCCCGGAAGTCCGCGCGACGGCGGCGGCGGCGCTCGCGAGCCTCGTGAAGGGCATGGGCGGCGTCGAGGAGCACTTCTCCGAGCTCATGCCCTGGCTCACGGAGACGCTTCAGAGCGACGGCCCGCCGACGGAACGCTCCGGCGCCGCGCAAGGGCTCGCGGAGTGTCTCGCGGTTCTCGGCGCGGAGTACTTCGAGGCGATACTCCCGGAGATTCTCGCCGGGTGCCATCACGCCGCGCCGCACGTCCGGGAAGGCCACCTCACGCTTCTGCGCTTCCTTCCCCTCGCGCTCGGGCGGACGTTCGAGGCGCACCTCAAGGAAGCTCTCGCGGAAGTCCTCGGCGGTCTCGCGGACCCGGACGAACCCGTGCGCGACGCCGCGCTCGGTGCCGGGAGAGTCTTCGTCGAGGAGTTCTCCCACAGCGGCCCGTCGCTCGATTTGCTCCTGCCGTCCATCGAGGACGGCATCGCAGCGGAGAACTGGCGCATCCGACAGAGCGCGGTCGAACTCCTTGGCAGCATGATGTTTCGAATCGCGGGGACGTCTGGCAAAGTGCGCGTCGAGGGCGGGTCCGACGACGAGGGCGTCAGCACGGAAGCGCAAGGCAAAGCGCTGACGTCCACGCTCGGGGTGACGCGGCATCACGACTTGCTCGCCGCGGTGTACTCGCTTCGCTCGGACCCGATGCTCGTCGTGAGACAGGCGGCGCTGCACATCTGGAAAACCGTCGTCGCGAACACGCCGAGGACGCTGCGTCTGATTCTTCCGCGGCTCATGCAGCGGCTCATCGCCGGCCTCAGCGCGCACAACGACGACCGACGGACGACCGCGTCGCGGTGCCTCGGCGAGCTCGTTCGGAAGCTCGGCGAGCGCGTCCTTCCCGAGGTGTTCCCGATACTCCGCGCGGGTTTGGAGAGCGAGGACAAAGACACGCGCGAGGGCGTGTGCCTCGGCTTGGCCGAGGTCTTGGGCGCCGCGCGGAAAGAACAGCTCGAGGAGTACTACGCCGAGGTCGTGCCCGTGATCCGAGACGCGCTGTGCGACGCGGAGGACGCGGTGAGGAACGCCGCGGGGAGCGCGTTCGACGCGATGTTCCGCCACGGCGGCGCGGACACCGCCTCGGACATCGTCCCCGCGTTGCTCGCGAAGCTGGACACCGACCCGGTCGCGCTGGAAGGGCTGAAGCAAGTCCTGCGCGCGCAGCCGAAGATTCTCGCGAGCGTCTTACCGAAGCTCGCGTCGCCGCCGATCAACGCCGCGCGCGCGAGGACGCTCGGGTCGCTCGCGGAGGTGGCGGGCGCGGCGCTGCCGCCGCATCTTCCGCTTTTGTTCCCCCCGCTTCTCGCGGCGATGGGGAGCGACTCTAACGAGGACGAGGCGGACGCCGCCTACGCCGCCGCCTCCGCGGTCCTGCGCGCGGTCCCCATCGACGCGCACTACCTCCTCCTCCCCGAGGTTCTCGGCGGTCTGAGCGACGAGACCGCGTCCACGCGCGCCGCCGCGGCGAAGCTCTGCGGCGCGTTCGCGTCGGAGGCGCCGTGCTTCGACGAGGACGACGACGTCCCGCAGCTGATCACCGCGCTGTTCGAGCTGTTCGTCGACGTCGACGAGGCGGTGGTATTATCCGCGTGGACCGCGCTCGGGGTTATCATGGCGAAGGTCGCGAAAGAGGACCAGGCGCATTACTTGCGCGACGTCTGTCAGGCGGTGGACACGGCGAGGGAAAAAGTTAGACGACGCGACCGCGGCGCGAGCGAAATTTTGATCCCGGCGTTGTGCCTCCCGAAAGGCTTAGCGCCGATCGTGCAGGTGTACCTGCAAGGCGTGCTCACCGGACGGCACGCGGAGGATAAAGAGCAAGCCGCCGAGGGTCTGCGAGCCGCGGTGCTCTCGACGACGACGGCGGCGATCAAGCCGCACGTGATTCCGATCACCGGTCCTTTGATTCGCATTTTAGGCGACAAGTACCCGGGTTCGGTGAAGAGCGCGATATTAGGCGCGCTCGCGGTGATGATCGAAAAAGGCGGTCTCGCGCTGAAGCCGTTCGTGCCTCAGCTCCAGACGACCTTCGTGAAGTGTCTGTCCGACGGCAACCGCGCGGTGCGCCAGAAAGCCGCGGCCGCGCTCGGAAGGCTCATGGTGCTCCAACCCCGCGTCGATCCTCTGCTCAGCGATTTACTCACCGCGTTGTCCACGAACCCCGACCGCGGCGTACGCGAGGCGACGTTACGCGCGATCGCGGGCGTGTTCGCGCACGCGGGGAAGAACGTCGGCGCCGCGAACGTCGCGACCGCGCGATCCGCCGTCTTCGAGTCCCTCCTCTGCGCCGTGGACGACGGCTCGCGCGGCGCCGCTGCGCTCGCGCTCGCGCAAGCCGCGGCGTGGCTCCCGGACGACGACCGCGGCGTCCTCGTGGAAGAGCTCGGGAGCGGCGACGGCGACGCGGACGAGCGCGAAGGCAGAGCGCTCGCGCTGAGCGCGATCGCGCGGACGTCCCCGGAGCTCGTCCTCGCGTCGCACGCCGCGCCGGCGCTGAACGGTCTCGTCAAGGCGGGGAAGGACGAGTCGACGGCTTCGAGAATCGCCGCCGCGCGGGGGCTGACGCGCCTCGCGATCGCGTCCGCGGCGCAGGTCGGGAGCAACTGTCCGTATCTCCCTAAGCTCCTGCCGGTGTTGTCGCGGCTGCTGCGCGATGATCAGCAGGACGTGCGGGAGGCGACGACGACGACGTTGAAGCGGCTCGCGAAGGAGCACCCGGACGCGTTGTCGCCGCACTTGGGCGCCTTCGTCCCCGCGCTCGCGGACGTCGCCGCGGGGGATCGTTCGAAGGAGGCGAGGTACTACGCGGACCGTGCGTTACGGCATGCGTTACAGATTTACGATACCCCCGACGGTTTGCTCGTCGCGCAGGGGGCGTTGAAAGCGGGCGGCGACGCGCACGCGGCGCGGGGGAAGCTCACGGATATCGTGTTGCGGCGGTTGAAAGCGTTGCCGGACGAGAGCGACGACGAGGGCGAGCAGAGCGGCGGGAACTGGGGGTCGCTGGGCGCGGACGCGGACGACGACGACGTCGTCGTCTTAGGGGATTGACGCGATGCGAGCGAGGGTGATTAGCGATCGTGTTGTGTGTTCTTTCGACTCGATCCTCCGTTCTCCAGTTTCCCCGCGCTGCGGTTTCAATTTCAGCCTGCAGCAGCTTTTCGCGCGGTTTTTTCAGGCTGAATTTACAGTACACGTAATCGGCGCGAGATCTCACCAACGACGAATCCCGCAGTCCCCGCGCCGCCAGCGGCCGTACACTGTGGATGATCCACTGCTGCACTTTTGCCCTTTCGGGTGCGTTCGCAGTCGGGACGCTCAAAGGACGCCGCGCGGGCATCGACGCGCGCGCCTCGACTAAACCTCCCGCGCGACCCACGGCGTCGTCTTCTCGACGCGACGCCGCGCGCTCGAGCGATGTCCGGGCTCGAGAGGCAGGGAAGCCTCGACGGCAGCGGGCGCGGCGGGCGCTTAAACCTCAGCGATGACGAGGGCGCCGCCCCCGGGGACGAGTACGAGGACCACGGGCACACCCTGAGCGCGATGCAAGGGAAGCAGCTCCGACGCGAGCTCTCGACGCATAACCTCGTCCCGATAGGGTACGAGGCTGGCGACCACGGCGCGGGCTCGCCGGAGACGACGTCGCCTCTGAGCACGCCGTCGCAGACGCTCACGGGCGCGGAAGCGGGCGACCTCTCGCACTCCGTCAACGAGGCGCCGGTGGAGCTGCCGAGGCGAGACCCGCGACGGAACTCACTCCCGGAGCGTCCGCGTCTGGACTCCATCTTCAACGTGCCGCCGACGATCGACGAGAGCGAGATCAGTGTTGGTGTTCCAGCGCCGGGCGGCGGCGCGGGATCCGGACAACCGCCGTCGCATCGGTCGGACGCGGATAAACCGAAAACATTCCGAGCGATGAAGACGAGCTCGCAAAGGCAAGCGCAGACGTCGCAGAAGACGCAGCGACGCACGACGATATCGTCCGCGGATACGTCCGCGGGGACGTTCACGCTCATCGACTCCGCGCGGCACGCGAGGAAATCGAACGAGAGCGTCGGCGCGAAACGCCGAGGGAATCTTAAATCCGTCGCGAGAGACTGCGAGTCCCTCCTCCTCATCGGCGACGCGCTTCGGGCGAAAGACATGCCCGGCCTCGCGGACCGGCTCACCACGGGCTTGAGGCGGATTCAAGATAACGCGCGCGAGGGGTACACGGACGAAGGCATCGTCGCGCAGAAGCGCCAGTACCAGCGCGCGGTGAACAGGAGAGAAATCCTCAAGAGCGCGATGCAAGACGCGTTCGGCGGGGACACGCTCACCGGCCGCATGGCGCGTCGCCTCAGCGCGAGCCTCGGGGCGCACCGCGAGAAACAGAAACAACAAGGCGACGCGAAGGACGTCGAGCTCGCGGTCACGAAAGATCACGAGCCACCGGTGAAGAAGAAGCGCGAGCTGACGCTCCGGGACCACTGCGTTCGCACGCTCGTCATCGGTTTCGCGTTTCTTCTCCTGTGCTGCATGCCAGCGATCATGGAGCAGTACACCCCGGACGCGGGCATCGCGGCGACGACCGGTTCGGTCACCGCGAGCGCGAATCCGATATACATGAAGCTCTCGCACCACGAGTACGGCACGTACGAGGTCACCGTCGGCGCGGGGTACTGTCTCAGCGCGGTGTCGTCGACGTACACGTCGAACTCGTACTACAGCGCGCACGTCGTCTTAATGCAAGACGACACGGAGCTCAAGAGCGACAGCGTCCAGCTCGAGACGTCGACGTATAACAAACGACGAAGGAACTTGCTCGCCGGTGGCGCGGACACCGGGCCGTACGGGAGCCACACGTACGAGACGTTTTACTGGCTCGCGGACCCTCAGAGGAGCGGGAGCGATCTGAAGTTGAAAGTCTACACGGACTGCCCGGAACCGGTAGGCTTGTCTCTGGAAGTCGTCACCGTCGGCCCGATCGGCGTCGCGCAAGTGTGGGTCGCGCTCGTGCTCCTCATCGCGACGTTCGTCTTGATCATCCTAGAGGTTGTGCACCGGACGTTAATCGCGTTCATCGCGTCCGCGGCGGTGCTCTTCATGTTGGCGCTCGAGCACCGCTTGCCTTCGATACCGACGATCATGACGTGGATGGACCACGGCACGCTCGCGCTTCTGTGGGGGATGATGATCATCGTTTCGCTGCTCGCGCGCACCGGGGTGTTCGAGTACATCTCCGTGCAGCTCATCATCGCGAGTAAGATGGACCCGTGGAGGCTGACGTGGTTGCTCATGATTTTCGACGCCGTTTTATCCGCGTTCTTGGACAACGTCTCCACGATGTTACTCCTCGGTCCGGTGATCGTATCGATGTGTAAAGCGATCAGGCAAGACCCAAGGCCGTGGCTGATACCGATGGCGCTGTTCGGGAACATCGGCGGCACCGCGACCATGATCGGCGACCCGCCGAACCTCATCATCGGCAACTCCTTGAGCGACGAGATCGGTTTCGTGGATTTCCTGAAAGTGTTAGCCCCCGGCGTCATCCTCACGATGTTCCCAGCGCTGTTGTTCCTCAGATGGTACTACGGCAGAGACGGGATTTACTCCAAGAAGATCGACGTCGACGTCGAAGAGCTCGTGCGGCGGTACCCCATTCGCGACCACGTCGGCCTGGCCAGGTGCGGGATCATCTTGTGCTTCGTGTTGGTTTTATTTTTCCTACACCCGGTGTTGCACTTCGAGCCTGCGTACGCGGCGCTGTTCGGCGCGATCGCGATCCTGGTCATGTCCCCTAGCGAAGACTTCGAGCACGCGCTCGAGAAAGTCGAGTGGGACTCGCTCTTGTTCTTCGCCGGTCTGTTCGTCTTCACCCAGGGCATCAGCGAGCTCGGGTTATTAAGAGTCATCGCGGACGCGTTGTCGGACGCGATCGAAAATGTGGACGAGGGCTCGCGAAACTTAGTCTCGAGCGTGTTGATTCAGGTCGTCGCCGCGGTCGCGAGCGCGTTCGTGGATAACATCCCGTTCACGACGACGATGCTTCCCGTGATCAAACGCATGGCGAAGAATGTCGAGGGCGTGGAGATCAGGGTGTTAGCGTGGGCGTTGTGTTTCGGCGCGGATTACGGCGGCATGGGGACGATCATCGGCGCGAGCGCGAACGTCGTCATGGCCGGCATCGCCGCGGAGGCGGGGTACCCGGTGTCGTTCTCGCAGTTCTTTAAGATTGGGTGGCCGATGATGTGCATCTCGCTGTGCGTCTCGATCCCGTATCTGTGCGCGATGATCGAGCTCGGGAACACGTGAGAAGGAGACGCGACGAAAAAGAACGCGTCTGTCGACGACAAAAAGAGTCGCGACGAAAAAGAACGCGCATGTCGACGACCTCAAGCGGAACGATTCACAGTATTGATAGACTATGTATCTTGCTTGCTAAAATTCTTGCATCTTAGTCTACGTATGATATGATTCCACGCGTCTGTCGACGATATTACCTCACGGAATCATGCACGGGTCGCGTCGCGCGAAGTGCACCGCGTCGATCGCCTCGAGCGTCTCCTCGCTCAGCTTCACCTTCGTCTCGTCGAACGCGTCGATGTCCTCCTCGAGCTGCTTCATGTTCGTCGCGCCGATGATCGTGGACGTGACGTAGAACCGCGTCTTGCACCACGCGAGCGCGAGCGTCGCGAGGGACACCCCAGCCTTTTCGGCGATGGCGGCGTATTTTTCCGTCGCCTCGACGCTCGGCGCGTTCAAGTACCTCTGCATGAATTTCGAGTATTTCGTCAGCCGCGCGTCCGCGGGCCTCGCGCCCTTGAGGTACTTCCCGGAGAGCGCCCCGCCCGCGAGAGGCGTCCACGGGAGAAGACCGACGTTGAAGTTCGAGGGCGCGCACGCCTCCGCGAGCTCCGTCTCGAACGAGCGGTGGAGGAGACAGAACGAGTTCTGAATCGTCGCCGGACGCTGCACGCCGAGCTTGTCCGCGACGCGCACGAACTCGCACACCCCGAACGTGGTCTCGTTGGATAATCCGTAGTGCTTGATCTTCCCCGCGGCGATGAGCTCCCCGAGCGCGGCGACGGTCTCCTCGATCGGAACGCTGTCCGGGCGTTCTTTCGACGCGTCGTACACGTTGTTTCCGAAAGCTGGGCAGTACCGGTCCGGCCAGTGGAGTTGGTACAGGTCGACGTAGTCCGTCTGCAGCCGCCGCAGCGACGCGTCGCACGCGAGATGGATCGACTCCCGGTCGATGCGGCAGTCCGCTTTCGGCTTCGGCGGGACGTATCGGTTCCCTCCGGTCTCGCTCTGCGGGTTGAACCCGCTGACTTTCGTCGCGAGGATCACGTCCTTTCGAAGCGTCGGATTCTTCGCGAGCCACGTCCCGATGTACTCCTCCGTGACCCCCGGCTTCCACCCCGGCGCGGACGACGGCACGGGATACATCTCCGCGGTGTCGATGAAGTTCACCCCGCGCGTTTTGATCGCGTAGTCAAGCTGCTCATGCGCCTCCGCCTCGGTGTTCTGGACGCCCCACGTCATAGTTCCGAGGCACACCTCCGTCACGAGGACGTCCGCGTTGCCCATCGGTACCTTACGAAGCGCCGCGTGGGTGGTGCTCATGCTGACTCTAGTAGACGCGCGTTTCGAGCGCGAGGGAGATTTGAACGCGGAGTGCACGCGAGGCGCGGATCTCGCGAGGGACGCGCGGCCGAGTGTCGCCGTGAACGCGCGCGCGGCCATCGAGTGATCGGTCTGATGACGCAAGAGTGACGCAAGAGTGTGTCACGTCGTCCGAGGAACGAAAAAGCTTCCATCGACGTCGCGTCGCTTCGCCACTGAGATCTGGCGCGGAGCGGCGGCGGCGCTGACGCGGATCGATCGCGCGTCATGGCGAAGTCCCCAGGGCTCGCGGACAGGCTGTTCCGACGCCTGGGGACGGGCGCGAACTCGACGCCGTACGCCAAGGTCGAGGACGGCGCGCCGGAGGACTCCGACGACGAGAGCGAAAGCGACGCCGGCGCCGGTGCCCATCAGCACACGAAGTCGAACACCTTCAAAGGGCGCGCGGAGCATGGGTTCATCTCGAAGACGCTCTTCCTCTGGGTCTCCCCGTTCCTCAAGCTCGGTGGGGAGCGGATGCTCCAGCTCGAGGACCTCCTGCCGCTGCCGCCGCACTACCTCGCGGCGAACAACAGCAAGCGGTTCGAGTCGCTTCTGAAGGACGCGATGGCGAAAGAGGAGCGACGCGAGCGCGAGGCGAGAGAGTGGGAGGACGCGGGGTGGAAACCGAAGCGGAGGCCGTTCCTCCCCGAGCTCGTGTGGCCGCTGTGGACGTCCTTCGGGGCGACGATCTTGACCGGGTCGTTCTTCAAGCTCTGCAACGACATCATCCAGTTCATCCCTCCGCTCGTGTTGGGCGGGTTCCTTCGATACATCGCGGGGAAAGACCACTTCCTGGAGGTGCTCGACGCGAGCGACGACACGTACGGGGTCGTGTACTGCGCCATGTTATTCTTCATCCCCGTCGTGAGGACGCTGTGCGAGCAGACGTACTTTTACTTCATGCAAGCGTCCGGGATATGCATCAAAGGCGCGCTCGCGACGGCGGTGTATCGCAAGACGACGCGGCTCTCCGCCGCGGGAAGAGAAGGGAGCACGACGGGCGAGGTCTTAAATCACATGCAGCTCGACGCGCAGCGGGTAGGGGACACGATGTTTTTCATCAACGTCCTGTGGAGCGGCATCTTGCAAATCGCCGGGTACATGACGATCCTGTATTTCTACCTCGGCTGGGCCGCGATCGGCGGGTTCGGCGTGATGGTCGTCCTCGTCCCGTTGCAAAAGACGTTTTTCCGATGGATCAGCAAACTTCGGAGCCAGCAGATGGTGCAGACGGACCGCAGGGTGAAGATGCAGAACGAAGCGCTGAGCGGGATTAAGATATTGAAGCTCAACGCGTGGGAGGAGCCGCTGCGCGAGGAAGTCGAGGCGGTGCGGGCGGAGGAGATGCTCATCGCCGGGCGAGTCGCGAATCGAAACGCGATGAACATGGCGATCATGAACGCGGGACCGACGCTCGACGCCGTCGCCGCGTTCTCGCTGTACAGCGGGGTGATGAAAAGACCAATGACGCCGTCGGTGATATTCCCGTCCCTGTCGCTGTTCTCGCTGCTGCGGTTCCCGGTGATGTTTTACCCGCGGTGCTTATCCCTGTGCGCGGACGCGTTCGTCGCGCTTCGACGGTTGCAGAAATATTTCCTCATGGAGGAATCGCGGGCGACGACGGTGACGCTTCCAGTGCGCGTGGACGGGGATGCGCGCGGGAAGACGACGAATGAAGAGACGCCCGCGAAGGCGCCCGCGTCGGAGCCAGAGAAGGGCGACGAGACGCTCACCCCGGAGGTTGAAGTGAAAGATCTGACGCGTGCGGCGTCGTCCACGCCCGCGGCACTCGCGGCGGTGACGACGCCGATCGCGGAGGAAGTCGCGAGCGTCCGAGGCGGATACTTCCACTGGACCGCGCTGAAGAGCCCGACGGAGGAGCCGTTCTTGAAGGACATCAACTTATCGTTGAAGAAAGGGCAGCTCACCGTCGTCGTCGGCCCCGTCGGCGCGGGAAAGTCCGCGCTGATCGGCGCGTTGCTCGGCGAGATGTACCAGTGCGCCGGTCCCGCCGGGTTCCCCGCGTCGGACGGCGCCCCGGACGTTCGCGGCACAGTCGCGTACGTCGCGCAGGTCGCGTGGGTTCAGTCTCTGTCGTTGAAAGAGAACGTTTTATTCGGGAAACGTATGGACGAGGAGCGTTACAGAAACGCCCTCGACGTCGCGTGCTTGGACGCGGACGTCCGGCAGCTCCCTCACGGCGACGAGACGGAAATCGGCGAGAAAGGCATCACGCTCTCGGGCGGTCAAAAACAACGCACCGCGATCGCGCGCGCGGCATACGCGGACGCGGATCTCATCGTCATGGACGACCCTCTGTCCGCGCTCGACGCGCACGTCGCGAAGGACGTCTTCCAGAAGTGCATCGTCGGCGCGTTCAAGGACAAAGCCGTGCTCCTCGTCACGCACTCTTTAGGGTTCGTGTCGCAGGCGGATCACGTGATCTGCATGTCGAACGGGAAGATCGCGGAGGAAGGGACGTACGACGAGCTCGTGAGCAAGGAGAAGGGCGCGTTCAAGGCGCTGATGGAGTCGTTCCACGGAGAGGAAGAGGAAGAGGAGGGCGTGGAGGTTGGGGACGTCCGCGTGGAGGAGGTACCGTCGACGCCGGTCCCGGCGGCGGCGGAGGAAGAGGAGGAGGAGGACGCGAGTTCGGAGGGTCGAATCGGGGACCTGACCGAGTCCGCGGCCGCGGAAGCGGGCGGCGACCCGTCCGTCGCGGCGAAGCGGAAGAGCTTCGAGAAGACCCCGCTCCTCGCGGCCGCCGCGGGCGGGGTCCTCCTGTCCTCGTCCGGCGACGCGAAAGGCGCCGGGGCTGGTGGGAACACGATGACGAAGGAAGTTCGACAGGAAGGCGCGGTGAAGTTCAAGACGTACTGGACGTACATCACAAACATGGGAACGCCGTCGAAGATCGTGTGGTTGCTCACGATGGTCACCGTAGAGAGAGCGATGAGCGTGATGACGTCCGTGTGGCTCGCGTTGTGGTCCGAGCGGCACTGGGAGGACATGAGCAACGACGAGTACCTCGCCGGGTACGCCGGCTTGGGCATCGGTCAGGCGATCGTGTCGTGGTTCCGAACGTTCGCGTGGGCGCTCGCCTCGCTCGCGGCCGCGAACACGCTGCATCTCGCGCTGTTCAAAGCGACGATGTCGACGCGGATGTCGTTCTTCGACACGACGCCGCTGGGAAGGGTCATCCAGCGGTTCACGAAGGACACGGCGACGTTGGATAACAACCTCGGGCAGTCCGTCAGCAGCTTCGCGTCTTTCTTCATCCTTCTCATCGGCACGCTCACGGTGATGGCGTGGGTGATGCCCATTCTCGTCCCGTGCCTCGTCCCGATCGCTATCATGTACTACTACGTCCAGCGGTTCTTCAGGCCGGGGTACAGGGAAGCGAAGAGGCTCGACGGCATCTCCGGGTCGCCGATTTACGCGCACTTCGGCGAGACGCTCACGGGGATATCCACGATCCGCGCGTTCGGGCACCAGCGCCGCTTCATCGCGGAGAACGAGATGCGAATCAGCGTGAACCAGCGCGCCGACTACACGCAAAAATGCGCGTGCGATCGATGGCTCCCGATCCGTTTAGAGACGATCGGGAACTCGATCACGCTCGTCGTCGCCATACTCGGGGTTTGGAACCGAGGCACGACGTACGCCGCGCTCGTCGGGTTGACCATCTCGTACGCGATCGACATGACGGGTTTACTGTCCTGGTTGATTCGCGTCGTGAGCGAGCTCGAGAGTAACATGGTGAGCGTCGAGAGAGTGTCCGAGTACGCGGAGTTGGAGAGCGAGGAAGCGACCGGGGCGGTGATGAAAACCGGCGGCGGCAGCGTGAAAAAGCCGACGCACGGGTGGCCAGACTCGGGGGCGATCACGTTCGAGAATTTGCAGCTCCGATACAGGCCGGGTTTGCCGCTCGTTTTGAACGGTGTGTCGTTCAACGTTCAGGCTGGCGAGAAGGTTGGGATCTGCGGAAGAACCGGCTCCGGGAAGAGCTCGCTGATCGTCGCGCTGTGGCGGTTAGTCGAGCCATGCGGCGGCGCGATTTGGCTCGACGGCGTCGACGTCTCCACGATTCCGCTGAAGACGTTGCGAAGCGCGGTGACGTGTATTCCCCAAGATCCGATCCTTTTCAGCGGCACGGTCAGGGATAACCTCGATCCGTTCAAAAACCACGCGGACGCGGAGCTGTGGTTCGCGCTCGAGGCCGTGCAGCTGAAGAAGGCGGTGAGCGAGACGGGCGAAGGCCTCGACGCGCCCGTCGCGGAGTACGGGGAAAATTACAGCGCCGGGCAGCGGCAGATGCTGTGCCTCGCGCGCGCGTTACTTCGCGACACGAAAGTCGTCTGCCTCGACGAAGCGACCGCGAGCGTAGACCTGGAGACGGACAAGGTCATGCAGGACGTCATCGCGGAGCAGTTCAAGGCGCGGACGATCCTCACGATCGCGCACAGGATCAACACCATCATCGAGAACGACAAAGTCGTGTGTCTCGAACGCGGCGAGCTCGTCGCGATGGACGCGCCGGCGACGATGTTACTGGACGAGAACAGCATGTTCGCGAAGCTCGTCGCCGAGACGGGGGAGCAGAGCGCGAGGAATTTGAGAGCGCGCGCGGAGGAGTGCGAAGCCGCGCGCGCGGCGGGGCGGCCGATTCGGAGGATAGGAAGCAAGCTGAGCGTCGCGTCGAACGATTCGAGATGAATAGAAAACTACAGTACGTTTAGCGTTTGTGTACAACGACAGAGACCGCGTCCAGCAGCCCGCTGTTGAATCGAATCGTGTGCTACTCCTCATGATCACCCCCCCAAGCTTCGTGATTACACGTTCGCATACCTTACATGTTCCACGGCGCCGTCTGGGACCCGAAGAAGTTGTGCGTCGGGTCGGAGATGTGCGACGTGAGGTTCGCCACCGGGCCGACGCCGGTGAACTCCTTCTGCACGAGGCAGCCGAGGAACGCGCCCATGGCGAGGCGGCAGTGCTTCAACTCCTGGAGCTTGAGCTTCTCGAGGTCGCCCTTCTCCGCGAACCCGAGCGGGTCGAACCTCCCGCCCGGGTACAGGCTCGGCTCCGGGAACCCCTTCGGGGGGCTCACGATCCCGCCGCGGTACGCCTCCGCGAGACCGACGGCGACCACCTCGAACGCGAGCACCGCCCAGAAGTACGGCGCGCCGGAGCCCTCCGGCGCGAGCGGCGCGGGCGCGCCGGGGAAGGAGTAGTTCTCGAGGCAGCTCGCCGGCGTGCAGAGCGCGCCGGTGTCGTACCAGGGCACGCCCGTGGCTTGCTCCTGCGCGACGATCCCGGGGATGGCGAGCATCGCCCAGCGGCCGTGGATGACCTCGTACTCCGCGGCTTTGTTCATGGAGAGGACGTCGTCGTTCCCGAGCGGGGAGACCGTGTCCGCGTCGGGCGCGCCGGGGTAGGTGCCGGGCTCCTGTTTTCAGACGTCGCGTTTTCGCGTTTGGTTTGGGGGGGTCGGAGACGTCAGCGGCCGTGGACGGAGGCGAGCGACGCGAGGGCGTCGATCGAGCGAGCGAGCGAGCGATATCGAGCGAGCGAGCGAGCGATCGTCTGTCGTCGCGAAATCGAAAATCACATCGGACGCACCGGCCAGAGGTTGGCGGAGACCTTGACCGCGGCGCGGCGCGCGGTGGTCTTGCGCGCGCCCGCGGTGGGGAGCGCGACCTTGACGAGGGAGGCGGACATGGTGAGAGCGGCCATTGTGATGCGTGCGGTGCGATGCGGTCGCGTGTGCGGGAATGACGAGACCGCGAGAACGGCTGAAAAGAACGCTCGAGCCGATTCTGGATCCGCGCGCTCGGCCAATCAGCAGCCAAAATCAGCGCCGAGAAAATCGCCCCACCGACCGCACTGCGATCGAGATCTTGATCGAGACCGATCGGCAAGCGTTCATCGCGTTTTAGGCTCGCGGTCATCGGTTCGAACCCGGTTCCACGGTGATCGGCCTGATCGAGACCCGATCGAGCAGAGCTCTCGTCGGTCTCGGACGGCACTTGCACTTTTCGTCCAGCGACTCATTTGCAACGACGCGCGGGGGTCGCCCGCGGCGTCGCTCGAGGCGGGCGCGATGCGCGACGACGCGGCCGCGACCGCGCGGCGGCGCGTCGCCGCACTCGCGCGTCACGCGTGCGCGGCGTCGTCGTCGTCGTCGTCGTCGTCGCGCGAAGGCGACCGCGCGGCGCGCGTCGTCGTCGTCGGCGGCATGGTCCTCGACGTCCAGGCGTGCCCGTCGACGGGCGAGCGCGTCGCTCGAGGGACGACCGCGCCCGGGGTCGTGACGCAGCGCCCGGGCGGGGTCGGGCGGAACGTCGCCGAGGGCGTGAGCAGGTTCGCGCCGTCGCGCGCGGCCCCGCCGCTGCTCGTCGCCGCGGTCGGGGACGACGTCGGCGGCCGCGCGCTCGTCGCCGCGTGGCGCGACCTCCCCGGTCGCCCGTCGAGCGACGGCGTGCGCGTGTGCGCGGGGGAGACGACCCCGGTGGTCTCCGCGGTGATCGACGAGACCGGCGAGGTCGCCGCCGCGATCGCGTCGACGACGCTGGTCGAGACCGGGCTCGACGCGACCTGGTTGCGACGGCATCGCGACGCGTTGCGACGCGCGCGCGTCGTCGTCGTCGACGGCAACGTCGCCCCGGACGTCGTCGCCGCGGCGACCGCCTTCCGCGACGACGTGACGCCCCGCCGCGCGTCGTCGTCGTCGTCGCCCTCCCCGCCGCTCGTGTGGTTCGAGCCCGTGTCCGCGGCGAAGGCGACGCGCGCGGGGCGCGCCGGGGTGTTACATCGCTGCGACGTCGTCTCGCCGAACGCGCGAGAGCTGCGCGCGATGGCGGACGACGCGCGACGCGAGAGACGCGGCGAGCCTCCGCCGCGTCTCTCGGCGAGCGGCGGCGAGGATTTGGATTTGGATCACGAGGCGGCGGACGCGGACGTCGCGCTCGCGGCCGCGCGCGCGCACGAGGACGTGGTGGCGCTGTTGAGAGAGGGCGTCGGGACGGTCGCGTTGACGTTGGGGCCGCTCGGCGTGCTCCTGTGCCGAAAGCCGAGCGCGAGCGCGACGACGACGACGACGCGGCGTCCGGGCGCGGCGGACGAGGACGAGGACGGCGGCGCCGTGGTCTACGCGCACTACCCCGCGTGCCCTGAGGGATTCGGAGACGGCGACGCGCGCGTGTGCGTCGTGAGCGCGGTCGGCGCCGGGGACGCGTTCGTCGCCGGCGCCGTCGCCGCCGTCGCCGCCGGGTGGGCGTTCGACGACGCCGTCGCGGTGGGCGTCGCCGCGAGTCGACGCGCGGTGGAGACGGACGCGAACGTGCCGTTCGATCCGAGGTTCGTGTCGTTTACCGCGCTCGCGAAGGACGCGCGGGAGGTTCGCGCGCGCGTGAAGCTGTGGACGGCAACCTCGAGCGACGCGGCGGAGCGGCGAGCGAAGCGACGAGCCTAGAGATGAGGAGTTGTTAGAGTAGACTAGTCGCGTTTTGATATCGACGACGGGTACAACCTCCCTAAGCTTATTTCCGCCCGTTCTTGGGCGCGCCGGTCGGGACCCACGTGCGCGTCATGCCTGAACGGAGAGGGGACGGCACGTCAGCGCGCGGCGCGTTTGGATTCGGCTCGGCGAGCGGCGGGGGAAACTAAACGAACAACGCGGGGTCCATCCTGTCGTTCAAACGATCGAGCCGGTCGACGCACCCGTGGGACCGCACTTCGTCTTCCACACCGGCTGCGTGACCTTCCACAGCTTCGCCCTGTCCGCCTTCGCGGCGGCTTCCGCTTCCGCCTTGGCGATCGCTTTCGCCTCGAGCTCAGCCTTCTCCCGCTCCTCCGCGCTCGGCTCCCTCGGCGCGTTCGCCAACTCGACGCCGTACGTGCTCGCCCACGTCTTCTTCAGCTGCTTCTCTTTCTTGATCTGCTCGTCCCAGAACGACGTGCCTCCGGCGCTGCCGTAGATCCACGACATGACGTCGACGGCGCGCGGGTGCGAGCGCGACGCGCGAGGTGGACTGCCGCGGCGGGCGGCGCGGCGATCGGTTCCCCCTTTTGGGCGCATTTCCTTTTTTGACCGACCGCGGACCGGAGGATTTTTTTTGCGTCGGGCCGCGGGGCGCACCGCACACGCACTCGGCGACGCGCGCGACGCGGGGCCCGGGACGAGATCCCGCGCCCCCCCACGTACACATGACCCGACCTCGCGCCTCGGCCGCGCTGACGCTGCGAATCGCGCTGCTGCTGCTCGCGAGCGGCACCTCGCGCGTCCGCGACGTCGCGCGCCGCGGGTTGGACGCGAACGAGCCGCGGGCGTCATGGATCCGACCGGGACGCGGCGGCGTCGTCCTCGCGGACGCGCAGGCGGACGATAACCCGCTGTCGATCACGACGTCGACGACGACGGACGGCCGCGAGTGCTCCGTGGGCCCGTACGGGTGGTTCTGCGACCCCGCGAGCGTGGACAACGACGTGAAGTACTACACCGCGGTGCCGTTCGAGGGGCAAGAGCCGTTCGACACGCCGGACGGACTCGTCGGCGCGTTCCCGGACGGGCTCCCGCCGCTGTGCACCATCTCGTGCGTGGACGACTGCCAGCCGCCGTGTCCGGTGGAGTGCGTCCGCGCCAAGTTCGAGGCGAGAGTGGAAGCGCTGGACAGCGGCACCGCGGGGGTGTTCATCAACAGGGACACGCATCAGTTTTACGTCAACCCGTACAACGGGAGCGACGCGTGGCCGGGGACGCGGACGCAGCCGTGGGAGACTTTGAAACGCGCGCAGGCGCAGGTGAGGTTCATGCGCGTGCAGAACACGGAGCAGCCGGACAGCGTGAAGCTGTTAGACCCGGTGCAGATTTGGATACGGAGTTTCGACCACGCGCAGACAGAGGACTACCGCGCGAACGGCGAAGAAAATTCGCGCTTCATGGGGTTCACGATACTCGAGTAGGTCAGTCGGATCCGTCGTCGCGCGTCGTGAACCCCAGACTTCTTAAGGTAGCACCGTTATGTATGTAACAACACTCTAGATAGCGCGCACGTCGCGACTTAATTAATACTCGAAGTCGTCGTCGTCCGCGAGGAGCTTCTCGATGAGCTCCTTCCTCGGGCGCTCGTTCGTCTTTGGACGAAACGTGCACTCGCGCTTCTCCTTCTCCTCCTTTTCTTGCATCAAACGCTGCCGCCTCAGCTCCGCCTTCATCGCTTGCTCGCCGTACCCGGAGATGTTATACGGCCGCGGGACCGTCTGCTTGTGCGCGGGCATCTTCTTCGTGGCGGCGTCCTCCATGAACACCTTCGCCTGGCGCGCTTTCGCGTCGTCCTCCATCTGCTTCGCTCGGCGTCTGAGCTCCAGGTGCCGACCCAACCCCGGCACCGCCTCGACGACAGACTTCGTCCCCGCGAATCCTTTCGTCGGCTTTCGTCCGACGTTCGGCTGGAACGTGCACGCCTCGAGCTCTTTGAACTCCTTCTCGTTCCGGGCTTCTTGCAGGCAAATCTCCTTCTCGCGGCGGTACTCGCGAATCCGCGCGGTGATCCCGCCGCCTTGGTTGTAATCCACCTGAAACGGCCGCGGCGCCGCGTCCGAGTGCTTCCGACCTTTGTTCGGCTCGAACGTGTGCTCGGTCTCCCACTGCTCCGCCGCGGCTTGCTCGAGGGCCGCGCGCTTCTCGCTCTTGCGGTTCTCAACGAGCTCGTGGAGCGGCGTCGCGCGCTTCGTCTTCGCGGACTTGGAAAGCCGCGGCTTGAACGGAGCGATCTTCTTTAGATTTTCCTCGTGCGCGCGTTCTCTCGCCGCGTCCCTCTCTCGCTTCTCGATGTACGACAACCGCAGGATCCTCTCGGAAGCGGTCTCACCCAGGCGTTCCGCGTGCTTCGACGTGCTTATGACCTCGTCCGCGTTCCCGGTGTTCGGGTGGAACGTGCAGTCCTCGTCGAGCAACGACCTCAGTTGCTCCTTCTCTCTCTCCGCCTTGGCCAGCGCCTCTTGTTGCCGCTCGAGGAACGACCCGGCGCCGCCGCGGACGCCCTCCTCTGCCATCATGTCGATCAACCGCCGCGTGTTCTCGTTCAACTTTGGCTTGAACGTGTAGTCCTCCTCCGTTCCGACGCTCTTTCGGCGCGTGTACGTCCCGCCCCGGACGGACTTCACGCTCACGCCTTTAGAGAGAAGGTCGACGCGATCGCTCGGAGAGACGCCGGCTTCCTCCTCGAGCCCGCGCGCGATGGCGCGGCTCGCTTGGCTCACCCTCGGCGCGAACGTCAAGTCCGGGTTCTCGAGCTCGACTTGGACCTTCGCCGCGGCCATGGACTCTTGCCGCTTTCGAAGCAAGTCGCCGACGCGCTCGTGGATCGGGCGGTACCCGTGCTCCTCCACCGCCGCTCGCGAGTTGTCGTTGATCGCGGGTTGGAACGGAAACGACGCCACCTCGGCTTCCGCGAGCTGCCGCTTCGCGTTCTCCCGCGCGCGGTACTTGTCCTTCCCCGCGTCGTACAGCCGATCCGGGAACGGCAGCGTCGTGATCTCGTCTCTGCGCCCGCGGCCGTAGGTCTCCGCCATCTTCTTCGGGCGGTTCACCTTTGGTTTAAACGTGCACTCCCTCGTCTCGGAGGCTCTCGCGTCGAGCTTCGCCTGCTCGCACCTCTCCCACAGCGCGCGTCGCGGCGTCGAGAGCTGCTCGATGTGATCCTGCCTGGACATGTTCTGCATCCGCGTGGGCGGCCGCGACCGCCGCGCGCTGTTCGTCCGCGGTTTAAACGTCATGTTCTCCCTCTCCTCCGCGGCCACCTTGGCGGCTATCGCCTCCTTCGAGTGCCGCCCCGCCTTTCGCTCCGTCGCGACGTTGAACGGCTTCCAGTCCGCGTTCGCGGCGTACGACGGCCGCGGCGCGGACTGCGGCCGCGGCCCCCACGCCGAAGTCTTATTCGCCCGCATCGCGCTCCCGTTCTGCCCCGCGTACGACCGTCGAGTGACCGTGTTCGTGGTCCCAGGCGTCGTCGACCGCGCCGCGCGTTGATTCGACGGCGTCTTGAACCCGTTCCCGGGGTGCGACGGCAACCCAAACGCGCTCACCCGGTTCGTACCGCCGCCGCGCGTCTCCGGGCTGTCCCCGCCGTCCCCGCCCGCCGCCGGCGCGGACTTCCGCGCGGACGCGCTCAACCGCTGTTGACGCTCGAGGAGGAGCTGCTGCACGCGCTCGCGGCGTTCCGCGGCGGTCATGGAATCGCCATCCTTCGCCGCCGTCGTCCGCGCGCGATCGTACGAGCTCTTCGCGTACGCGTCCGGGGTGTTTCCCTTCCTGTGCTTGTGCTTCTCGATCTTGTCCATGATCTCGTTGCGGCGGGACGCGCTGAGGCGGCCGGACGCGGCCGCGGCGGCGTCGGACGCGAGCTCTGACGCCGCGGACGCGCGCGCGGGGGCGTCTGGGAGGAGGTCGAGTCGAGAGAGAGACGATCGGACGGGGGCGAATTCGTGAGTCACGGCGCGCGGCGTGAGGCGTGAGGCGCGCGTCGGGCGGGTTCGAGCGGCGGCGGGGGACGCGCGACGCGCGACGCGACGCAGAGGGCGGCGTGGAGTGGGGACGACGCGCGCGGGACGGGTCCGCCATCGGCCGCCGTGCCAATGCCAAATTTCCCGTCCGTTGCGCGTCGCCGCCCGGAAAATCCCCATCGTCACCGCCCCTCTCCCCGCGCGTCTACAACGCGTTCGTCGCGCGCACACGCCGCGCTCGAGCTTCGCGAGAGTCATGACGAGCGTACCTTTCACACCGAAGCTGTCCTGCGCTAAGAGCTCCTCGCACATCTTGATGTCCGCCTCCATCTGCGAGCGGAGCGCGAGGAAGGGGTCGTTAGGTTGAAGGCGAGCGAACGCGCGCGCGCGGGGGTCGTTCGAAGACGCGCGAGCGGTATCGCATCGTCGAAGGCGAGGCGCACCTGCTCGAGGCTGAGGTCGCCGCGCTCGGTCATGATGCGAGAGTGTTTACCGCGGAGGGGGCGCCCTGGCGCGGCGCGCGTCCTCGCAATGGCGGGGCGTTTGAAACCAAATCGTGACAAGACCGCGTTCAACCCGCCTACCCGCCGGCGTGATATTCTCCCCCCGCGAACAGTGCCGCGAACCGTCGTTTACTCGCGCGTATTGCTCTAACTAATTGCCCGTACATTTGTGTACGAGCGCGTAGTACGATAATCGGCCCCGCCCTTGTGTCACGAGAATCACAAACAATTTCCACCCTGGAAGCGGCCGTGAAAAATCGGCCTTGCTTCGATCGACGCGGCTTCCGCCGCAGAGTTCAGCGCGCGCCCGTCAGTTCTTCGACGCCGCGTCCTCAACCAACGAGTTCTTCCGCGAATATCATGGCCGCTATCGCGTCCACCGCGTCGGTCGCCCGCGTGGTGGCCGCGCGCGCTGGGAAAGCCCCTAAGCGCGCCGCGAAGGCGTCGCTTCCGGTGTCGACGCGACGCGCCGCGAAGATTGTCGCGAACGCGGACGCTAGCATGGGTGGCGTCGCCGGTTTCGGCGATCCCCTCCCCGCTTCGGCCCCGATGCCCCCTCAGCAGGTCTTCAACGCCGCGTCCATCAAGGTGAGCGCCCGCCCGCGCGCCGATCCGTCGGATTTTAGATAACCAAGATCATTTTCCCCCCCCGGAATCGCCCCGATTTTCTCCCGAGACGCGTCGCCTCCCGAGCGCGCGGCACGCCCTCCTCGCGACGCGAACACGATCTGACGATCGCGCCCTTTACGTTTCCTCCTCTTCCCAGGTTGTCGGCGTCGGCGGTGGCGGTTCCAACGCCGTGAACCGCATGGTCGGCAGCGACATCGGCGGCGTCGAGTTCTGGATCGTCAACACGGACGCGCAGGTGAGACTCGTTTTCCGTCTCGCGTCTTTCCCTCAGCTCGCGGCGCCCGCCGTGCCTTCGCGCCGCGCGTCCCCACGCCGAGCGCGATCGCGCCGACCGCGAACTCACCAATCCTCATCCCACCCTCGCCGCGCCGTGAACCCGACAGGCCATGGCCACCGCGGCGGTGAACGACGCGTGCCACATCCAAATCGGCAGGGAGGTGACGCGCGGTTTGGGCGCCGGCGGCAACCCCGAGATCGGCCAGAAAGCCGCGGAGGAATCGAGGCAAGCGATCGAGGCCGCGCTCGCGGGCTCGGACATGGTGTTCGTCACCGCGGGCATGGGCGGTGGCACCGGCTCCGGGGCTGCGCCCGTCGTCGCCGGCGTCGCGAAAGCCGCGGGGATCCTCACCGTCGGCATCGTCACGATGCCGTTCAAGTTCGAAGGCCGTCAACGGTATAACCAAGCCATGGACGCGGTCGAACGCCTGAGGAGGAACGTGGACACGCTCATCGTGATCCCGAACGACCGCCTTCTGTCCGCGGTGGACACGTCTCTGCCCGTGCAGGACGCGTTCCTTCTCGCGGATGATATCCTGCGCCAAGGCGTGCGCGGCATCTGCGACATCATCACCCTGCCCGGTCTCATCAACGTCGATTTCGCGGACGTCCGCGCGGTCATGGCGGACGCCGGGTCGTCGCTCATGGGTATCGGCCGCGCCACGGGTAAGAACCGCGCGCGCGAGGCTGCGGCCGCGGCGATCTCGTCCCCGCTCCTCGACCTCGGCATCGATCGCGCGACCGGCATCGTGTGGAACATCACGGGGAGCAAAGATCTCACGCTCCACGAGGTGAACGAAGCCGCGGAGGTGATTTACGAGCTCGTGGACCCGTCCGCGCTCATCATCTTCGGTGCGGTCGTGAACCCGGCGATCAAGCTCGCGGAGGGCGAGGTTGCGATCACGCTCATCGCGACCGGTTTCCAGCCCTCCGCTAACCCGCAGGCGGGGCAAGGGCAGGTGAGGGGGCAACCGCAGCAGCAGGGCGGCCAGCCCGTCATGGGATGGGGCTCTCCGCAGGGTGGGCCTCCCCCCCCGCCGCCTCCCCGCGGGGGTGGTGGCGGCGGCAGCAGCGGCATCCCGTCTTTCCTGAAGAGGCGCATGGGTCGCTAAGCAGCGACGCGCATGAAGAGAGTCTAACGATACGAGCGAGGAGGTGATGAGCGATATGTTTTAATGTCGTCGCGCGAGCTGCCGAGAGTGAGGCGTTCTATAGAAAAACCTTTGTCAATTTCGAAGCAAGACGAACATTACGTACGTGTACGTGTACTGCACGACGCGTCTCGTTTTATTATAAAGTTAAAGTTAAGAGCAAACTCGCGCGTTCGCTTTCGCCTATTTCGATCCCCTCGCCCGTTCCCCGTTTTTCTCGGCTCTCGTCCTCGCCCGCGGCGTTGCTCACTCAAGCGGCGCGTTGCGCCAGATGAAAATAGCGCCCTCCGCGCCGACGGTGACGATCCTCTGCCCATCCGGGGTGAACTTTACCTTCGTGATCGCGCCGCTGTGCCCTCTGCCGACGCGCGCGCAGTGCCCTTCGTCGTACCCAAAAACCTTCACCTCTTTGTCGCCGCCGCCGATGACGATCGCGTCCCCGGCGACGCTGATATCGAGCGCGTTTATCTCCGCGTCGTTGCTGCCGTCCACGACGCGTATCGCCTGGCCGTCGAACGCGTCCCACCACGACAGCTGTCGATCCGTGCCCGCGGTGACGATCTGCGACTCGTCCGGGTGGTATCCCACGGCTTTGAAGAACGTGTTCGCGTTGAGCGACATGTTCCTCGAAAACCGCGCGAGGTCCCACACGACGCACGACCCGTCGCTGCTCGCGGAGACGCACTCGCTGTCGTTCGCTCTCAGCGCGAGCGAGTTCACCGGTCCTTTGTGCTCCTTCATGGACGCCACCATGCTCTGCGACTGCGGGCCGATCCGCCACACGCGGACATTGCCCTCCTCGCCGCCCGTGATGATCCTCGCGCAGTCGCTGCTTCCCACGATCGCCGTCACAGCCCCGTGCGCGTCGTTGATCTGGTACAACAACCTCCCGGACTGCGGCGCGAACGCGCGGATCTTCCCATCGCTCCACCCGGAGATGATGCTCCCTCCGTCCGGCATGAACGCGACGCAGTTGCACGTGACGTTCGGGACCTTTACGCGCAGCAACTCCCTCGCCTCGTTCACGTGCCACACCCTGACGTCGTTGCTCCCCGCGGTGATGAACACCTCGGAGTACCCGACCGGGAACGCGATGTCGTTAATGATCTCGTGGTGACACGTCTGGATGAGCTCGCTCTTGAACCCCTCCATCGGGGAGAACTTCAGGTAGTACACCTCGCACGAGTCCGTGCCGCAGTACACGCCGAAACCGCCGTCCTCGTGGAGGTGGGGCGCGATCTCGCACGACGTGACCCCGCTCGCGAGCTTCGTTATAGCGATCGTCTTCATCGTGTCGCGATCGAGCAGCGCGACGGAGCCGTCGCCGCCGCCGATCACGATCTCCCCGGTCGGCGATATCGCGCTCGACACGACGCCGCGCGGAAACCGCGTCTTCGCCGGGCCGGCGTTTTTGAACAGCCTGGACGTGAGCGACATCTGGAGGATGTCCCCGGAGGTGGTGCCGACGTACATGTAGTCGTCCTGTTGGAGAGGAAGAAGCGAACGGAGCGCGGGGATCGAGATTGTTAGACGGAGCGCTCGCGGGCGGGAAGACGCGCGACGGGAACGGAATTGCCAAATTAGGAGGAGGGACAGGAGGGCTTTTTGGGTCGAATTGCTTCGTTTGAATTGGGGCGCGCGATTCCTTCCCGGGCGGGACGCACGTATTCGTCGATCGTGACGCTCGTCGCCGCGCGCTTGAGTTTCCCGAGCGTGCACGGCAGCGACCGCAGCTTCCGCGCGCCGCGGTCGAACGTCCACACGTCGATGTCCCGGCTCCCCACGGTGACCAACTTGGTGCTCGTGTTGTTGAAAAACTTGACGCACTTCGTCTCCCCCGCGGTCGGGAACCCGCAGATCGCGTCGCCGGTGCCGACGTCCCACACGACGACGGAGTTGTCGTCCTGCCCGCCGAGGGACGCGAGGTACTTCCCGTCCGCGCTGAACGACAGCGACTGCACTTTCACCTTGTGAAGGGACATTCGGTGCACGATCTCTCTCGTGTCGAGGTCCCAGACGATTATGTCCGCGGCGAACCCCATGAACGTGATCTGCCCGGACGCGAGGTACCTCCCGTCCGCGGAGACGCACAGGCACGAGACCTCGTCCGTGTGACCCTGAAGGAAGCTCTGCGCGGCGTCGCCGCCGAGCTCTTTGATGACGATCGTCGCGCCCATCGGGTAAATCATCGCGTTCCCTCGCGGATGAAGCGCGAGGCCTCCCGGGACTTTGCCCTGGAAGCCGATGACGGCCTCGAGCGGGAGCGCGCCGTCGGTCGCCATCGCGTCCGCGGTGTGATCAAACGCTGAACGACGGTCGCGACAGGGGAGCGAGTCGGAGCCGCGGCGTGGTCGTGCACGCGCGTCGGTGTGTGCCGCCGCGCACCGGAACGCGCGTCAATTCCAAAAGCGGGACGAGCGAAAACCAACGGGTGAAACGCGATCGACGACCGGCGCGGCGAGCGAGTGGCGAGCGACGACCGGTGGTGGAAGTTTTTCGAAGGTGCCTCGGCGGCAGAGCAGAGCGCGCCACCCCGCCGCCGACGCGCTTCTCGCGCGTCCGATCGAGAATGGCGAAGTGGGGCGAGGGCGATGAACGGTGGATCGTGCAGGAACGCGAGGACGGCGTCAACGTCAACGGATGGCACTGGCAAGAGAAGAACTACATGGGCTGGGGGCGAGAGCGGCTGTCAGATCTCCTCACCGCGGTGACGTTCGACCTCCCGAACGACGAGGGGAGCGCGTCCGTGATTGAGATTTCAAAGTTCGAGGGCGACGCCGCGGTGAGCATCCGCAAGGGGAACAAAAAGTTCGCGGTGTTCGACCTGAACATCACCCTGAAGTGGGAAGGGACGTGCGAGGGCTTCGAAGGCGACGGGATCGTGAAGGGCGAGATTAAAATCGCCGAGTTCGCGTCCACGAACGACGAGGACGAGTACGAGTTCAAGGTGACCGCGTCCGACGGCGACGCGGACGCGAAGAAAAAGATGAAGCAGAAGATCAAATCCGTCGTCGCGGAGGCGTTCATGCCGCACCTGAACACGTTCGCGAAGGAGCTCGCGGAGATGTGACGACGGGAGCGCGAAGAACTCGTTCGTTCGTACTTTCGTACCTTTTTATTTTTTCCCGCGCGGCGCCGCCGGCCGCGACGACGGTTCGTTGGATAGCACGTAGACTAGCATGATCTAACGTCGCCCGTCGCGTTCGTTTCGTTACTTTCGTTACACGCTCCCGTTCTATGGATCACCCACCGCGCTGGCTGCTGCTAGTAAAAGTCCTCGATGCTGCTCCCCGACTTGGCGCGCATGTGCCGGTCGAACAAGTTTCCTAAGCTCGCGCTGCGAGAGTGCGGCTGCGACCCGCTCGAGCGGTCGCTCTCCGCTCGTCTGTACGCCTCGTTCATGATCATCTCGCGCTGATCGTTCGATATTATCTCGTGCTTGCGCGCCCACTCCAGGGTGTCCGCCATCTTCTTCACGGTCATCCCGCTCGCGTCCGCGGTCCTGCGAAGCATCAACGCCTTATTCCTCAGCTTGATGTCGATCGTGCACGCGGGCTGCTCCCACGGTTCCCCGTCCACGTGCATCGGGAACCCTTTCTCGACGATCACCTTCACGTCGCGAGCTTGACATATCCGCACGGGCTTGTCCACGCCCCAGTTGAGCTGCCCGAGGTGTAACGCGCCGAAGACGACGACGACGTCGACCATCCCGTCCTGCATCGATGAGTTCCCGTGGCCGTCGCCCCCCTCCCACATCCGGACGCCGCCGGCGAAGGAGTTGATGTTCAACAAGATGATTCCCTCCGTCTCCGGCGGAAGATCTCTGCGGACACCGTCCGCGATGACGTGCACGTGCTGGTTCATCCCCGCGCACGAGTGCTCGACAAAGTCCCGCGCGCCGAAGAGGCCGTACAGAATCTTGTTCGTCGTCGCGCTGAAAAATAAGTGCGGTCGGATGTTCCGCGTCCTGTGGAACCGCAACGCCGCCTGCGCGTCGACGCCGATGCCGAGGTAGTTTTGAAACACGAGCGTCTTCGCGCCGCCGCCGCCGCCGCCGCCGCCGCCGCCACCGGTCACCGCGCCGTGCACGGACCCGTCGACGACGGAACCGCTCTCGCCGGAGCCGCTCGGCGCGGGCGCCGGTAACACCTCCGTCCCCGGCCGATGGCGCCGTCGCTTCTTCGGCGACGGCGGCGGGCCTTCCGGGTCCGCGGGGATGATCCCGACCTCCCACCGGTCCAAAACCGCGGGGTGCGCTTCCTGTATCTGCACGAGGAGTTCGGACACGAGGTCGTTGTAGTACCCGCCGCCCCACCCCAACACCCGCGCGAGGTCGTTCCCGGTCCCGAGCGGCAAGATCCCCACTGGCGGCTTCGGGTCAATCTCCACGAGCTCCTCCAGCGCTTGCAGGATCCACGCGACGGTGCCGTCGCCGCCGCACACCATGATACGCAGCTTCGGTAAGTTGCTGAATAAGCGCAGCGCGAACTTCGGGTCCGTCTTGTGGGGATCCTCAGAGTCGACCGCAG